GGTTGAGTTATGAAAGTGGTCGTCTCCATGATTCACCTATTAATGGCCGGTTTCTAAAGAAGTATTACCCTACGACTTGGGAGATGATGGAGAAGTAATCTACTAGAACATTCGGGTTTGGTAAAGTTAGTTTGTGATGTAGGTAAGACTTTTGAAGCAAAGTGAAATGAATAACCCGAACAACATCGTATATTTAGATATGTCAGTTAGGCTCCACAAAATAGGCCAAATAATGGCCAAAACATCTGCCAAACTGAACAAAAGCTACCTCTATCATATATAACAACAGCAAAATGTAAGTCTAGCTAAAAACAAAAGGGGCCAACTAATGGCCTAACACATATCTAAACATCGGGAAACAGGCTACGAAGAGCAGTCCTAAATCTCTCACATGCACTCTCTCCAGCGGATAAGGCAGAGATGATGGGTAGCTTCCTCGCCTCAAATGACTTCACTGCAGCTGAGTCTTGGCGAAGTTGAGCCTCAAGAGGTCCATAGCTCCGTATATCCTCAGAAACCTCGGCAAGAATGGCAGCCCTCCTGTCCTGAAGCTGCCTAATCTACTCATCAATACTCCTAACCTCTTGCTTCTTCTTACGGCCAAGCTCGACCTTCTGCCTAATAATGGCACTCGTCGAAGCAATCCGTCGTTCCAAGGCTTCACCTACCTTTAGTTCCTCTCGAAGGGAAGGATGGCGGGGAATCAGTCTTGCCACTTCTCCAAAGAGATGCATGATCGTGCGTATCGTAGTCTGGTCAGAAAAAAAACCGGAGGTTATCAATGCCTCAATAGCGGCTTTGACCTTATTTCTCTCATCCTGGTCGGCCAAGGATATACAATCTCGATCTCTGTATGAACGAAGTAGTGCCTCAGCTGCAGGATCTGGAAACACCCCAGCAATAGCCGAAGAAGTGGCAGAACGGGTGGAAGCCTCCGCAGAAGTGGCAGAAGCATCCCATTGATCGAGATAGGCAAAGATGTCGCCAGGGGCCTGCCAGCAAGATTATGTGAATGTAAAGAGTTCCAAGTTATAAAAAGAAGGAGGAATCGAAGGGATTAGCAAATGATGCTTACATGGTCCAAAAGCGACTGAATGAGGTCATCTTGGTCCGTCGATGGTGGTCGCTCACCGCCACCCTCAACCAAGGTTCCAGCCGTGGGTACGAGAGGGGGATCGGGCATAATAGGTTCTCCAACCTAGTATGGGATCAAATGAGTTGGGATGATATCTAAACAGTTAAAAGCAAGATGCCAAGTCATACCTCGTGTTGTTGATCTGTCAAAATAGGCATGAGCACATCTGATGACGGCTGTGGGATCCTCGATACAGGCCCATTACTCAATATGACCGGGATGGCCTGGAATTCACCACTAGCATTGGCCGTCTGATCGGCCGAAGTGGTCTGGTGATCCACAATATTCACCAGAATGAGAAAATGGAAATTTTTGAAAGAGGTTTGGAACATGTAAAAATATTGAAGCATGTGGAATTACCTGAAAAACCTGGTCATCTGTGGAATGGCCGGTTGGGTCTAGGAAATCTGAGGTATGATCTGGTAAAATCTGAACTTCATCTCTAATTGTCGTTGAGTCAACCAAGGTGGTCTCAAGACTGAGAGAAACCACCTGAGATCATCCAAAGTTTTAATAAAGGGACCGGGGGCAAGTTATCATATATAAAACTCGACGAAGTTGAGATTTCAAGATTACCTGATGATCTGGAGTATGGGAAGTGTCATCAATGACTCCGTGATCAACCTCACGACTTCCTGATGGCTGAATGTTTTGTTGAGTCTCGGCCACAATGGCATCTGGGGTGGTGGAAAGGTTGGCACCAATAATCTCCATCTGGATTCGCCAAGCAATTTTTTTTGTAAAAAATCTAAGTATGGAAAAATCCAACCAAGATGGGCCAAAGAAGCTTACCTCAATTTCAGCCTCAGAGATAGCAGTCTGTCCACCAGCTTCAACTTCAAGTATGGGAGTTCGAGATTCCTACATTTAAACCACAAGTTAAGAAAATGCCAAGATTAAGGTGGGAGATGTATTGAGAACGAAACTTACCAGAATGGCCGAAGAAGAAACGGTTGAGTGAGTGGCCGCAGTCGAGCGAGAATGGGTGGGTTGCTCTACTATCCCACTCGAGCCTATGATGCCAAAGTCCAATTAAAGTTTTTTTTTTTTTTTACTAGTTAAAAAAGAAAAAAAAAAAAAAAAAAAA